CAATTATTTCAATTTTCCTGAGTGTCTGGAAATGTTCATAATATAAATGGCACAGCATTCAAGTACAGCACAGAAGCTTGCCTTTCCTCGGCCTCCACAGTCTCCTAGGGATCCACAAGCTGATGAGATCTGTGAGGGCTCCAGTGTCAACCCCTTGGGAGAGGGGGAGAGGCAGCACTCATTGGGACAAGAAAGGGCAGAATGGAGCTATTGCAGCCCCAATCAGAGCCAAGCCCTGGCCTCCTCACCTAGTCTCGTGGAACCTTTCCAGTACCATGACTGACTCCCACCACTGTTCAGATGAAGGCTAGCCTCTGGGTGTCCATACAAATGGCCGTCTACCTGGAGGGATTTCAGGGCACCAGGAAGCTCTCACCCCTTCTTTCCCCCTGTCCCCACCTGCTCATGGGTACTTCTCTTGTGAGTTGTCAGTAAGACTGCCATCCAACGGCTCTACTTGCATGTAAGCTCCATGAAGGCTGAGAACCCACAGTTACTGCTGTATTGTTAACACCTAGAGAAGTGCCCCATACACTATGTGTGTGGAAATGTGTTGGATGACAAAGGCTTTTCTCAATATACATAAAAATGAGAGTAAGTAAGGTTTGGGGACATAAGGAGATAAACACAGCCAGACTGAATCAGTAAAACCGGGATGTGTGGGAGAGAGAAGTGCACTGTTTCGGAGCTTAATAACAGAGACAAAATAAATGGACTGGAAATTTCCAAATATTTACAATTGGAATACTGCCTTTGGCATATCTCAGGTCTATCTTGGAAGACTTGCTAGAAATACAGATTTGCATATCGGCGAGAGTCTGTTTTGCTTTCGAAATGATGGAAGAAAGCCCTGGTCCGCTATCTGGAAGAGAAATGGAGGGGCAGATGATTTGTAGCTAGCTAGGGAACACGATTCCTGAATGGATGGAACTGATTCTGATGGGAATTGTACTGTTCTTTCAACTCCTTATATGTTGGAAATTCTCCAGCTAATAAATTTCGGGGAAAGCTATCAGCACCACAAAATGCCCATTCAGGGCTAGAAATATTAAAAAGATTCACTGACTTTTTAGAGTGTGCAAGGACAAACTGAGACAAAACCAAGGGAAACTGTATAAAATAAAAACTTAAAAAAAAACAAAACACCTCCAAACCGAGCGAGACTTAAGTGAAACAGTCCTAGGATATGGGATCTGATGTTTCCAGCTTTAAGATAGACTACAGTTTGAATAAACAAGAACCTGAGCAGTAGTTTAAAAAAAAGGGGGGGGGGAGGACAGAACACAGATTTTTTAAATTTCACTTCATGCCAACAGATATGAAATGTCCCATACTATATTTATTGTGTTTTCCATGTTTTTTATTAGGATTGCAAGATTATACTTTTTAATGAATAGTTTCCTTGGAAATTAGTTCAATACATTTGGGTTATGAAGACCAAAGTCTCCCTCCAAATAAAAATAATAATTTTAAAAATGCACAAAAGGAAAAAGCACAATAAGCTCCTCAGAAGTAGAACAAAGGAGGCAGTACATTTATAAGCATAAATCAATAAACAAAACTGAGTGTTTTTTAAGCATGCAGGGGTTATTTATCATATTAACTGATTAAAGAAGAAATATCAAAATTTAATAGATAAAAATCATCTGCAGTAAAATTCATCTAATAATAAGAATATGTTAAAATAACAGTAAAAGGAGCTTCTTTAGGAAGTAAAGTGTGTCTATCAAAAAACTTGAGCAAATGTCATTCTTAATAGTGAAATATTAAACTAATTCTTTTTAAAACCAGGGATAAAATACTTTCTCACAAAAAAGAATAACTGGAAAGGAAGAAAGAAAAATTCATTATTTGCAGATAGTAGGACTGTCTACCTCAAAGAAGCTATAGTCACATTTAAAAGAAATTTTTTTACGGTCAGGTTTACATATTGTACAAAATCCAACTGCGCGTATAATAAATCAGCAACAACAAAACCCAGAATTTTAAAAATATTCTTTTTACAACAACAACAAAATTCTAGTGTACCTAGTAATAAATCTGTCTAAGGTTATACTATGTTTGAAAGAAATTATCAAACTCTGGGAGATTAACATTTCTGAGAGGAAGCTCACTTTTATAAGCGTGTCAATTTTTCTGCAAATCTATAGATTTAATACACTTTCAAAGAAAATTCTGGTAGATTTTTAAAAATTGTGGTAAAATAAACATAACATAAAATCTACTACCTTAACCATTTTTAAGAGTACAGTTCAGTGGCATTAAGTACATTCACTTGATCATGCAACCATCACCAATATGCATCTCCAAAATTTTTTCACCTTCCCAAACTGAAATTCTGTACCCAGCGAACACTAACTCCCATTTCTTCCTCCTCCTAGCCCCTGGTAACCACTATTCTACTTTGTCTCTATGAACCTGGCTACTCTAGACACCTTATATAAGGGCAACTATACAAAATTTGTCCTTTTGGTGTATGCAAGTTCTTTTTTTTTTTTTTGGAGGAACTTGACAAACTTAACTCTAAAACTTATGTGGACATGCAAAAGACCCAGAATAGCCAACAGTTCTGAATTACATTTTAAAGGTAATAATATAATAATATTATATATAATAAGTACCATATAATACTATTATACTATTATAAATCTAGTGGAATTGAGATGGTGTATTGTTGAATTAAGAATATACAAGCAGTCGGGCTTCCCTGGTGGCGCAGTGGTTGAGAATCTGCCTGCTAATGCAGGGAACACGGGTTCGAGCCCTGGTCTGGGAAGATCCCACATGCCACGGAGCAACTGGGCCCGTGAGCCACAACTACTGAGCCTGCGCGTCTGGAGCCTGTGCTCCGCAACAAGAGAGGCCGCGAGAGTGAGAGGCCCGCGCACCGCGATGAAGAGTGGCCCCCGCTTGCCACAACTAGAGAAAGCCCTCGCACAGAAACGAAGACCTAACACAGCCATAAATAAATAAATAAAGCAAAACGGTCAACAAGTAAAAATAAACACAATTATAAAAAAAAAAAAAAAAAAGAATATACAAGCAGTCTAGGAACCAAATAGCCCCCAAATGGACTCCTGCATATATAAAAGTTTAATAAATGTCAGAGGGGACATTCCAGATCACTTGGGAAAGACAGTCAATTCAGTATATGGGGCTGGAACAACTGACAATCCCTACAGGAGAAAAAAAAAAAGAAATTAAATCCCTCCCTCACACTACAGACAAAAATTTCTAATGGATTCAAGAGTTAAATGTGAAAGGTGAAATTCTCAAACTTTAAAAAGTGTATATTTCATGACGTCAGAGTAGACAAGATATGGAAAAGACTGCATGATGTCAAAGTAGCCAAGACATGGAAAAGACTGATAAACTCAATTGTAATTTAAGAATTTCTGTTAATCAAAAAACACCATAAAGAAAATATAAGACAAGCCACAAACCTGGAGAAGAGAACTGTAACATCTAAAAGTCAACAAGACTAAGACCAAAAAAAGAAAGAAAAAAATTGGCAAAAGGCATGACAGGCATTTCACATAGGAAGAAATACAAATGGCAAATAGACATGTGAAAGCATACTCAATTTTAACAGTAAAATGAAAATGCAATTTTAAAGCACAGTGAGAGATCTTTTTCTTATGTTATATCGACAAAAATTAAGTCTGATAATACCAAGTGTTAGTTCCATAAGACACATGCTGCTGGTGGGGATATAAATTGGTACTATCACTGAAAAATAATTTGACATGATGTAGTAAAGTTGAACATACCCACAACACAGCACTTTAACTCCTGGGTCATATATGCTACTGAGGAGTGTTTTTCAAACAATAGATTGCAAATGGCTAAAATGGCTCATGAAATCAGTTTAAAGGATTGAGATCAGTAGTTTTAAAAAACAAAATTAAAAAATATCAGAGAGCATTATGAGTAATAGGATGAGCATTGTTTCATGAAATGTTTGTTTCACTTGTGTCTGTGGTGGGGAGGGAGGGCAGGAGACTCTATGGGTGTGTGGGTGTCCATGGTGATGGAGAACGTATTTCTCTGAGTCACAGCAACTAAATTTGAAAGCCCTGTAGAAATTCTTGCCCACGTTCCCCAGAAAACATATACAAGATTTTTCATAAGAGCATGTTCAAAATGTCAAAAACACAAGCCAAATATCCACTGATACTGGAGATTAAAATGGATGAGCAACTTGCGGCACAGACACATGATGAAATATTATGAACACAGACAGAAGCTCTTCAACCACACATAACAACTTGGATGAACCTAAGAAACAAAATATTGAGTGAAAACAGGAAGCTATAGAATGCCACACACATTACGCCTTATTTATCAAGCTTAAAGACAATACGAAAAAAAAATCAATGAAAACAACCCAAAGCACAGATCCTGAAGCTACACTATCTGGGTTCAAATCCTAGCTCTGTCACCTAGTGGCATGTAACCTTGGGCAAAACACTTAACCTCTGTGCCTGTTTCCTCATCTGTGAAATGGAAATAATAACCTACCTCATGGGGTGTTTAGGATTAAAACCTGTAAAGTCCTTGGAACAGTGAACATGCCAAAAAGAAGGAACAGGTGTAGGAAGAACAGAATTAGCAATGTTCTGGTTCTTAAGTTGGTTTGTGGGTGCATGAGTACTGAAGATACATATTCATTTATTTTTTCCACTTATCAATATTTTTTAAATTTTATATTGGAGTATAGTTGATTTACAACATTGTGTTAGTTTCAGGTGTACAGCAAAGTGGTTTAGCTATACACATACATATATCTATGCTTTTTCAGATTCTTTTCCCATATAGGTTATTACAGAGTACTGAGTAGAGTTCCCTATGCTATACAGTAGGTTCTTGTTGATTCTCTCTTTTATATCAATATTTAATATTTAAACAGGAGTGAGCTGTGCCATGACAAGGCCCTGTATACTCAGGCTCAGGAATAAGACACTGGGTCAACGATGTTGGCAGCCTGAATGGTCACATACCTGGTTCTCAGCTTGTCACCCCCTGATTCCATCCAGTTTTGGAGCAGGCTGGAGATGGGTCTTTCTTCATACTGCTCGGTGTACTGAGCCAGCAGTTCCTGAACCACAACCTGCACACAGAGTTTATCACTTGTCAGCCATTTGTCAAAAACGCAGTAAATGACAGAGTGTCTTTAACTGCTGCAGCAAGGTAAGGTCCAGCTACTTCTAGCAAACCCTCTGGAAGGACCCAAAGACAAGACTCATCCTTCATGAGGCCTCCACTTCCCCACAGCAGGTGTGTGGCCTTTACTCACCACTCTCCCTCCATTCCCCATGGCCAGCTTAACTAGCTAACTACTCACTGCTCTCTTTTCCCTTTGAGGCATCAGCCTTTAATGTGGTCCCAAGACCAACCATTTTAGGTGACACTTCAGATAAAACCTACTTGCCTTCCCTGGACCAGATGGGTGGCTGGTCTGTTTTCTTTTTTGCCTCTGATATTCTACGGTTGATTAGGCCTTTGGGGAATCATACTGAAATGTACAGTAGAACAATCTCCATCAATTGCTTTCCTCACTCACAGCTTTAACGTTATAATGTGGGCCTAAAACACTGTATGCTTGTCCAGGTTTGTTAAAAGAAGATGTCCAGGGCTAGGCTGCTGTAGAGAGAGGCCCAGGTGACGGTGAGCAGCAACTGCTAGGCACGTCAGTGAGGCCACCTTGGGCCAGCCTGCCCCGCAGAGCCTCTAGCCGACTGCCAGGCAGGAGTGAGACCCGGCGAGGCCAGCAGAGGAATCACATCACGAGAGCTCAGCCCAAACTGCCAAGCTACAAACGATGAACTAACAATTGCGTGTCGTTATAAGGCACTAACTTTGGGGGTGGGGTTGTCACACAGCCATAAGTTGCTTATTCATTCTCATACGAGTACCAGTTTTAGAATAGTTCCTTCTTCATTTCACATACATTCATGTTTTTATATAGATCACATAAAATGTTATAATGCTTTCAATCAATAGGGTATCATAAATGATATTTTCGGTTCACAATCTGTTCTGGATTCTATTTATCTGTTTAATGGCTGTATAATATTCTTTGGAGAAATCATACCTAATTAAACATTTCCATTCAATTAGATATTTATGTTGTTTCCAATTTTATACTGTCATTAATATCCTTGGTATCAATATATTCAGACAAATAGCACTGTCCTCTTTTGGATTATTATCTGAGAATAAATCCAATGAGCTTGACTGATGCAATGGTTCTTAAAGAGGGCCACCCTGACTATGAGAGGGATGCTGGAAACTTGTCAAGGCACACTCGCCTGGGTGACTTTATTGGCATTGGTGGGTAGAGCCAGGCAATGCATGGGACACTCTAACCCAACAGAGGACTGTGCCATATCCAGTGTCCCGTTGAATGCCATGCGCTCAAACTCAGGAAGCCAATTGATAGCCCAGAGCCTTACTCTTACACTAAAGATTTCAGGTTCTCCCCGACCTGGGTCTGTGGAAGATTAAACTCCCCTGCCCCCTTGAATTCGAGGCATCCATGGGACTGGCTTTAGGTCAGTGACATGTAAGCTGGTGCGATGTTCCCAGTTATGATTGGTCCATAGCCTGGACTTTGGTCTACACTGGAGATGCTACAGCAACTCCACGTATAGAGGCATTGTTAAGTCTTACTATGTTGTTATGCTTATTACACATTCCTTTTGTTTCTTTGAAGTATTGCCTTGAATTCTTGAAATCATGTGTCTAGATAAGTTATATTACCCATGACTTCATTTCAGGATAATAAAGGGGGTGTCACAATATATTTACTATGAAAAAGAGGGCATTAGGTCCAATGAGCTTGAGGATCACCGTATTATGGGTCAAAGGACCTAACCTTTTTTGTGGCTTCTGCTATACATAGTAAGTGTAAAAATCGAACACTACTAGCAATGGGAAAATGGGAGAAATTAACTTTGACTAGAATTAAACTTAAAATGATATAGCAATCAAGGTCAGTTTCACTGACATCACTAGGATTAACACATCCTTTGTTTTTGTTCATCTGTTAAAGTTATGATGGCTCTAACTCCATCACCCTCTTGTTACAAGATCAAAAACATTCCCAGCATTAAAAATTGGTCTGATTCCCACCCCTCCCCTCATACTTTTACTTGCTTTATTTTTCCACGTTGAATTTATTGCTACCTGAGGACAGAGAGCATTACAACTTGCTATTGGTTTCTTGTCCTTCTGCTGCCTGGAAGGCAAGTGCCAGGAGGTCGGAATTTGTTCATCTTTGTGCTCTCAAACAACGTGCAACACAGAGATAGGAGTTGAGGAATCTTTCTTACATAAGTGAATAAATAAATAAATCTCCTTCCTATGTTTAGTATCTCATCTGATCTTTTCAATTCCTTAATAATTTCCTTTAACTTTTGTCTTTACGTCCACCTTTCTGATTTAAGCAACTTACATTGGGAAAATCAACTCGTTTTAACTAGATTTAAAATTAGAAGAACACAGGGCTTCCCTGGTGGCGCAGTGGTTGCGAGTCCACCTGCCGATGCAGGGGATACGGGTTCGTGCCCCGGTCCGGGAAGATCCCACATGCCGTGGAGCGGCTGGGCCCGTGAGCCATGGTCGCCGAGCCTGTGTGTCCGGAGCCTGTGCTCCGTAATGGGAGAGGCCACAACAGTGAGAGAGGCTCGCGTACCGAAAAAAAAAAAAAAAAAATTAGAAGAACATAATAACTCAGTTTAGGTGCTAAACTTAAAAGATAGACACGCTGGGGCGTAGCTAATATGACAAAAGCAGATTCCTCAATTTAGATCTTTGCTCCTTTCTCTTTACTTTTTGCTCCTTGCTTTTGGAATCATTCCTCTTTTTCTAGGTCATGAGACAAGAAAACCTGATTTTTTAAAATGAATTTATTTTCTGCTATTGATGCCCCTTGGTGAAGAATTAAGTGGTTGAAGCTATAAGCTACCATGGGGTTTGGGCAGGACAGTCTCTAAATTCAGTACTTTATTTGAAAGAGGACTAGGGGGAAGCAAAGATAGATCAGTCACCCTCTCAACTGAGCGTGCAGTGAAGATGTGCTTTTTTTGACCTCATGTATGTGTTCCTGAATACATTATAACATATAATATATATAAATTATATAAAAAATAACAAATTTTAAAATATAAATAAATTATATAACATTATATAAAATATATTATACTAATTTATATATATATATAATTTTAACTTTCTATTTTAAAATAATTATATACACAAAAAGTTGCAAAATTAAAATAGAACAGAGAGGTTTTGTCTAGTCATCACCCAGATTACCCCAAAAGTGATATCTCACGTGCAATAATGATGATCAAAACTAGGAAATTCAGTAAAATTTGTACACATTGAATGTTTTAGTTGTAATAGAGATTTCATTATTTAAAAATGAACCCAGTGGTAAAATAAACCCATTTTATAAAATAAAATATATTTCCTTTCAATACAAGTAATTACATCCTTATCTAGGTCTGGTGTTTTGAAAACTTACACCAGATTTTCTTAAGATAACCTGTGAGGTTATTTCTTTCCAGGTGATTGTTTCTGTGGTGGTGGGTGTTTTTGTGGCTCTTCACACAGTTCTCTTGTTCAACATGTGAATACTCTTTATTTTCTTCTATTTACTTGATAAATTCCCAGGGATTGAGTCCTGCTGCACCTGCTCAGGAGTCCCTTTCTTAAGAGAACTCCAGGGGACTAAGCAGCCAGAACAGCTATGTTCTTCCCTTTTATAAAAAGATCCCATCTGCAGAAGGAATCAAGCTAATCTACAGCGAACATTTGGAAGCCATGAGCCTGAGCAAGTATGCAGAATAATGACATCACAAACATGCATTTGTAACGAATATCCTATGCATCAGGGAACACTGATTATGGAGCATCAATAAAAATTACTTTTTAGGTCGAATGGCTTTTCAAGGCATCTAGGAAGCAACTAGCATTTCTACATGCTGAGTATTTCACTGATCTATGCCAGCTACAGTGAAACTTGGATTTAAAAGTCTAACAAGTAGTATCTGCTACCAAGGCAGAAATGCTTAGAGTCAATTAGGATAGCAAACACGGTCTCTAAGGAAAAGCCAGCAGATGTCATCCACTCTGTAACAGGACAAGGCAGGCAGTGAGGCTGCACTCAGGTCTATACCACGTAGGGCGATGGATTCACTCAAAGTGGCAGTACTTGTGGCAATGGGATCCCAAATCATGCCCTAGGCAGGACTGGCTATGGAATTTGGGACCTGGGGCAAAACAAAAATGCAGGGTCCCTTGTTCAAAAATTCTTAAGAATTTCAAGATGGTGAGAGCAGAGCAGCAAACCAAGCACAGGCCCTTCTGAGCACGAGGTCCTGTACGACTGCACAGATTTTGCCCCACGAAGCTGGACCTGGCCCTGAGGGTCCCAGGAGGATGGGCAGACACAAATGTAACTACGTGTTCTGTGTTTTTTTTACAGCTACATCTGGCAACTCAAGGTACCTTAGGGAAGCTCAGGTGTCACCCAGGGAGTGAGGTTGCAGAAAAGGCCAACTGGACATGATCCTCCACTAAGGACGTTATTTTCATCTTTTAGATGCTGGATATCCCATCAAGGTAAGATTTCTTAGAGGACAATCTGTAAAGATTCCCTGGCTAGAAGGAAAGAAAAAGAGAGAAAGAGGGGAAGGAAGGAAAGAAGGAGGGAGGAAGGGAGAAAGAAAGAAAGGGAGGGAGGGAGGGAGGGAGGAAGGAAAGAAGGAAGAAAGGAAGGAAGGAAGGAAGGAAAGAAGGAAGGGAGACAAGGAGACAGAGAGAGAGAGGGAGGGAGAGAGATTGATTTCCGTGCAGAAAATGAAGTCGTCACTTTGATGAGCACAGAAGTACAGATAAAGGTTCAGAAGGCTCTCTTTCTCCCAAACCTCACACATGGAGCTCTTGAGGAGAACTTTCAGTAGTTAGATGCTGGAACATCTGGTTTTGAAAGAATTAGTACCAGCTCTGTTATGGGTCAATGGATTTGGAAAGAAAAAACTAAAACGTCTGTTCAAACTACCTTGGTCAGCTTTTCTAAGAGTGCATCATCGCAACGTCCCT